ATAAAGATAATTGGAAATGAATCTTGATGTGAATGGAATGGGAGAGGGAGCAGGAGATGGGAGGGGTCCGGGTGGGAGGGAAGTTATGGGGGGGAAAGCCATTGTAATCCATAAACTGTACTTTGGAAAATTATATTTACTAAATAAAAGTTTAAAAAAACTATATATTTTATGGAGTTTTAATTTTTCCATACATAAAAACATATAATTCCTTCTTTCCTACTTTGATGCTCTGCCAACCATTGTGGGAGACCCAGAAGAAGCTCCTGGCTCCTGATTCAGCCCTGGTTGTTGCAGCCATGTGGGGAGTGAACCAGCAGATGAAAGACCTCTCTCTCTCTCTCTCTCTTCCTCTCTCTCTCCCCCCTTCTCTGTAACTATGACTTTCAAAATAAATAAGTTAAAAAAAAACTGAAGAAAGGAATTTACCACTTCACTTGGTAATCATAGATTTAGAAAACTTCTCCGGGCTAGGAAACCCAGCCAAAGAACATTTGGATTTTTTTTTTTTTAAGATTTATTTATTTATTTGAAAAGCAGACGGCCGTTGCCGCGGCTCACTAGGCTAATCCTCTGCCTAGCGGCGCTGGCACACCGGGTTCTAGTCCCGGTCGGGGCACTGGATTCTGTCCCGGTTGCCCCTCTTCCAGGCCAGCTCTCTGCTGTGGCCAGGGAGTGCAGTGGAGGATGGCCCAAGTACTTGGGCCCTGCACCGCATGGGAGACCAGGATAAAGTACCTGGCTCCTGCCATTGGATCAGCGCGGTGCGCCGGCCGCAGCGCACTGCCCGCGGCGGCCATTGGAGGGTGAACCAATGGCAAAGGAAGACCCTTCTCTGTCTCTCTCTCTCACTGTCCACTCTGCCTGTCAAAAAAAAAAAAAAAAAGGCAGAGTTACAGAGAGGCAGATGCAAGGAGTGAGGTGGGTCTTCCATCCACTGGTTCACTCCCCAGATGACCACAACATCCAGAGCTGGGCCAATTCAAAGCCAGGAGCCACCCACGTGGGTGCAGGGGCCCAAGGACTTGGGCCATCTTCCACTGCTTTCCCAGGTCATAGCAGAGAGCTGGATTGGAAGTGGAGGAGCTGCAACTCAAACCAGCACCCATATGGGAACTTCACCCTCTATGCCACAGTGCAGGCCCCCACATTGGATTCTATCAGTAGTACTTATTCTCTCAATGTTCCTGGAAATACAAATAAATGAAATACAAAGAAATGAACATTTAATTCACCCTTGTAAAATTGGGATCCTTGAAGCCAGGCATTCTGTTTGTATTTTCAGTTATGCAAACATTTGCAATGGTGGACTGTTATAAAACAGATTTATATTGAACTTATGCAAAAAAAAAAAAGCAGCACTACCATAAAAATAATAACTCTCATGAATATTTTTTGAATTTTGGATGAATCAAGAGTGGGGAAGATGTAAATGCTTCATCCTTTATTTAAAATGTGTATTTTATCTACCATAAACATTTGAGTTTAAAACCAACAATGCAGGGCCAGCGCTGTGGCACAGTGGGTTAATGCCCTGGCCTGAAGCACCAGCATCCTATATGGGCACCGGTTTGAGACCTGACTGCTCCACTTCCTGTCCATCTCTCTGCCATGGCCCAGATAGCAGTAGAAGATGGCCCAAATCCTTGGGCCCCTGCACCAGCATGGGAGACCGGAAAGAGGCTCCTGGCTCCTGGCTTCGGATTGGTGCAGCTCTGGCTGTTGCAGCCAACTGGGGAGTGCACCAGCAGATGGAAGACCTCTCTCTCTCTCTCTCTGCCTCTCCTCTCTGTGTAACTCTGACTTTCAAATAAATAAATAAATTAAAAAAATAAAGTGTTAGAACACTTCATCAAAATAGGATCACAGATTCTTGGAAAATAATTGTCACTTCACTGAAGCAGAGTGATTTAGCCAGAACTATAAAGTGATTACTTTTATAAGTATGAAAATGATTAAAAAATTTGAAAGCAAATAAATGAAAAATCCTTGCACAATTCACAATAGCTAAGATATGGAATCAACCCAGATGTCCATCAGCTGTTGACGGATAAGGAAATTATGGTATATATACACTATGGAGTGCTACTCAGCTTTAAAAAAAATGAAATCCTATCTTTTGCAACAAGATGGACACAAGTGGAAACCATTATATGTAGTGAAATTAGCCAGTCCCAAAAAGACAGATATCATATGTTTTCCCCAATCTGTAGTAACTAGTAATAGAGTACCTGAAATGTAATGTATTGGAGTGAAATAGGCGTTCTGAGATTTGATGATTGTTTACAGCCCTTGTTTCTTCCATTGAAGGACAGTGTTTTTTTTTTTTTTTTTATTTTCTCTTCATACTATTTGTTGAACTCTTTTGCTTAGTGTAGGATTAACTACATGATCATTAAGTAAACTGAAAATAGACCTTTGTAAAAATTAAGAGTGGGAATAGGAGAGGTAGGAGGAGGGAGGGTTGGAGCATGGGTAGGAGGGAGGTTGAGGGGGAGTGTCACTATGTTCCTAAATCTGTATATTTGAAATGCATGAAACTTACATAACTTAAATAAAAAAAATCTGTGTAAGTTCATCCTTCTCAGATTGGTTTATGTTTCCTTCTGTCCTGGGGTAGTAGTTTTTTTGTAAAATGTGATAATCCTCTTCATATAATTGAAATTAGTTCAGCTTTCCCCAACACATACATGGTAGGAGCACTTTTCACCCCACAGCAGCGTTCCCTCTCCCAGGGCTGCTTGTCTGAGCCACCCGCTTTGAGGGTCTTTCTTGTCCTCCTACTCAGTTGAGAATACAGACTTCTCTTATTTACAACATTTTGATCTAACAAGTGACACCATTCTGCGTGTCACTTCCAGTCCCGTAGTCAAGAACTAACATGAGGCAGTCAACACTTTATCATAAAATAGTCTTTGTGTTAGATGATTTTGCCTGAGTGTAGGCTGATATAAGTTTCTGACCATGTTGAAGGTAGGCGTGGGTAAGCTATGATGTTGGTAGGTTAGTTGTATTAAATTCATTTTCATCAAATGATATTAGGATAATTCAAAAATTTCATGAAAAAATGAAATTAAAATTTGGGTGCCAAAAACTTTGGATATCTATGCATAGTTTTTCTTAATATACATTTTCATGAACTTTTTGAATACCTCTTCTGTGTATGAATTTCAAAATACTTTAAGTCAAAGTAGAATTATTTATCAATTGCACTTTCCATGAAGTAGCCTCGTATTTTCAACTTCACATAGTTTTATTGCGATGAGGCCCATTGTAAGTCAGGAGCACCTGCACTTAGTTCAAGCATTGAAAGAAAATCATTTGCAAGGAAATTATAGAGCCAGAGACCACACCCTCTGCTGTTACATCTCAACTAACAGGGACTTGCACATTGTGTCCCCTGCACCTTAATCACCTCTGCCTGTTTTATTTTACTTTACATTTTATTTTATTTTACATTCTTGACATGCCAATTATTCACTAAAATCACAGTATTTTCTGTCTTTTTTGGCATAAAAAATCAAACTGAGAAGCCACTTCCCACTTGCCAACATGTCTCAGTATCAAGGAACAGCATGGATGGCGTTCACTACAGTTCTGTGGTGGGATTGGGTCACTCTGAAAACCGCAGACATAACCGGACCGGACAGGGATTACTGAGTGAATTCCCTGGCTCTGTGGGGATCTCTGGCACAGGTCTTGGGGTGGTCTCTGTAGATGACTCTGGGGGGGTCTCTGAGGAGATGTCTCTGGAGTTCTCTGTTAGAAGCCGTGGTGGTGTCTGTGAATCTCTCTGAGAGATGATCTCTCTCTGTCTCTCTCCCTCTGTGGTCTCTCACAGAGGTCCCAGTCTCTGTGGGCTGTTGTCACAAGTCTCGGGAAGACCTCTGGAGGTCTCTGAGGGGTCTCTCGGTAGAGGTCTTTGTGGAGGGTCTTTGTCAGAAGTCTCCATGGGGCCTCTCTCAAGGCTGTCTGGGCGAGCATCTGCCTCCCCGACCCTGCCCTTGCTGCATGTCTTGGGGGTCAGGGACTTGCTGCCTCTTGTTTCTTACAGGCCCCTCCGTTTCCTGTGTTTTTGCTGAACAAGTCCTGGGATCCTCATCCAGTTCCAGCACATCCTGGAACATACCTCTTTGGTCTTGAGAAGCCAGCAGACTCAGGGCCCCAATCCCATGCATCCCACTCCTGAGGGACAGACTAGCCCTGTTCCAGGTCCCAGCCCCTCTTGGGTCATCCACTGTGACTGCTGGGCACACCCTGGAGGCTGCCACCCCAATCATGGGAACCAGGCAGGACCGCCCAGGAGTGACCTGTGGGGCATGTGCCTGCTCCCCCTCCTTTCAGGGGAGCAGGAGCTGTTCTGTTACCATCTGTCCCACCGACTTCTCCTGCTTCAAGACCTTCCAACAAGGATTAGCCTTTTGGATTTACGCCAGGGCTCATCCCATGTGTGGCACGGCATGGAAAAGTGGAGAAATGGTCCTTTCTCTCCCCATTTTGGGACCTTCCCACTTTCCCATGTGGTTGGGCCCTGAGCAGAGGAAACCTGTGTAAGGAGCAGAGTGAGGACCAAGCTGAGACTACTCCTGGGCTGTCCCTATACCCAGGCTCTACATTTTGGACAAGTCACCCAACCCCCTGTTTGTACAGATCCTGTCTGATTACCTCTTCCCTGCCTGTCTCTGGGGCAAGCGAGAACTGGAAGCCAGGTAAGACTTCCTTTGTGACCTCAGGCTGGCCCTGGGCACTTTTATGTCCCCACCTCTGCTCCAGGAGAAGTCCTGGTGCCACATGTACCTGCAAAGGTGGATGTACTCATCCTGACAAGTACTGAAGGCTTTCTTTTGCTTGTTTCTACACTTGTCAGTGAAAACCTAGGAGACAGTCCTGTGGCATCTGGAGTGAGGGTGGCACTGCAGTGACACTGTCACCCTGTCCCTTCTAGAAGCCGCATTCAGAAACACAGACACTGACCCTTTCCCACACCCCAGAGCACAGCACAGACTGACGCCACTAAATCTGATGAGGAAATACACATTTAATAGAGAAGAATAAGTATATTCGTAGGTGGAAGCCATTAGCACATAAAGGATGTGCCGACATAAGACTGAATAGGTTTCTGTGGCAGAAATTGACGTTGTTCTGGGAGAAAACTTTTCCCAGTGGAAAATACACGAGGGACCTGATATGCTGGACCAGACGAAACACTTCTCTGAAGAAGGCAGTTCCTGGGGCAAGAGATAGAGCGGCCCAAGGTACCTGCCACTTCTGACCTGTGTTGGCTTTGGCTAGCTCGGGACACAGGCTCCCTGGGTGGGGAGAACTGGTGACTGTCCCTGTCCCTGACCGACATGCTGTTGATAGGATGGCTGAAACTCTGGGGGGTTGCTTGGTGACAAAATGCTGTATCCATCCCCACTCTCCTTGGCTCTGGGTAGGAGGGACCCCTGTGGTAGCAGGGACACTCACCCAGTGGGACCTGGGTTTCCTCTGTGTACCAACTGAACTCTGAGGGAACATGTGTATACGGAAGCCCCAGCTGGTCCACCACAATCTTTCCCACAACTGTGGTGAGGGCCTGTGCCTGAGCCTCTCTCTTTTCTGTGAACAATCTGCCTAAGTGCGATCCTTGGCTCCCAGCAGTTGCTGATACAGGCCTGTCTCTGGGCAGGGTATCTTCCCATCCTGCGCCTCTTCTGGTAGGGGTAGAATGCTGCATAAAGGGCCTTACTCTCTTTTTGTTGTGGCTTTCCAGTGGTTCTTGTCTCCTCGTTGGCAGGAATTGTGAAGACTTTTTAACCAGGGTGTCTCCTGTTTCCCTGTTCCGGGCAGGGTGGCTCATCCCACGGGCATGTGTGGCCCTTTGTGCTGCAGCTCTTTCTTCGTGATCTCCTGGTCTGAGTCTCCTGCAGTCCTCTCTCTTGTCAGAAGGACTGAACATCTTGTTCTCACTCTTCCATGGGGATCTCACTCTTGGGCTCCTGGGCTCTTGCTGCCTCTGGCTCCACCCTGCCTTCAATAGGTGGTCGTGAAGCCCCTGGGAAGCTGATATGTTGCTACTGGACATGTTCTTTGGAGTGTCTGAAGAGGCCTGAGAAGCCAAGATGTCTGTGATGGGGTGCACCTCAACAGTGTAGTCTTGATAGACAATATCAGTGTCCTGGCCTTGAGGCTGATTCTCTGACTCCACCTCCACTTGGACCTCCACTTCATTGACAACCTCTCTTTCCAGGCCTGGCTGTCCTGTGCGGTAGCCAATAGGCATTCGTGAGGTTTGGGGACGTTGACCATCCCCACAAGGTTCTAAATTCAGATTCACATTGATGGTTTGGGAGATTGTCATGTTGGCTTCCCTGGTGGCTTCCCACGTGAGAGGCTTCTCCTCAGCCTCCAATGCATCCCTGATTTCTTTTGCCCCTGTAGCCTGGGATATTCTACTGATCTGCGTTTTGGGTTTGTAATGGTCTGAGGGGGCCAGGTGCCCAATCTCTTGAGGTTCATTCTTGGCGGCTGTTGTACTTTTCCTCCGTGCTAGGCTGCCTCTCCTAGCTCCCTGAGCAGTCTTGCTCTGCTGGAATCTGTCCCGAAGGCTATCTTTGAGAGACTCAATAGGAAGTTTGGCCTCCTGTCTGGTCCCAGGGGCCTCCGAGAGCCTCCGGGTGCCACCAGATGGGGCCACTGCCAGGGTCTTCTTGGCTTCCTTATACACAGATGAGGGGGCAATGACGGGTCTCTCTGGGGGTGGAACTGACTTTTTTGCCATCATCTTCTCTCCTAGACCTTTGTGAGGGTCTCCTAGGGCATTGGCAGCCTTGACTTTCACGTTGGCCCCTGACTCCTGGGAAGCTGAAGAGGGAAATTTGGGCTGCGGGTGCTGTGAAGCTTGGACTGCACCTGAGTTGAGATTTGTGTGCTTGAGGGTCTGGTGGTATAGATTCCACCCTCGCCTCACTGGAAAACTTTTAATGTGTGTTTCTAGCAAGTTTCGAGTGAAAGGATTGACAAAGTAAGTCTTCTGGGAGGTGTTCACCGAGGAGTTGTGACCTTTCGGGTCTGCTGGATTTCTAGGTTTTATGTGGGTGTTGTAATTGGGAAATGCATAGTTAGCAGTAAGCCAGGATCGACGCACCCTCACAGGGATTCGGCCCTTATTGATCTGCCCCGACTTCTTTTCCAAATGGGCTTTCAGGTCTTTTTTGAGATCTTCCTTTTCTGGGACCCTGGGTTTATAGCTCCTATACTCATGCTTCCTGGGCTTGAAAAAGTTACGTTCTGCTTCCTCCTTGTCATCTTCCAGAACCTCCACTGAGGTGCTTTCTGGAATCCAGGGTAGGTCTTTTTTGTCATCTTCATCCTGCCCTGGATCCTTGCTTTGTTTGCCTAGTTTGAGCCCTACTGCACCCTTTCTGTGGAGTCTTCTGCATTGCATGGGCTCCATTGTCTTCACATCCTTGATGCTTTTACCTGCAACTGCAGAGGGCAGGGACGGCTGGGAGCGGCCATGCTTTTCCATTCCCTGGAATGGGCAGGTCCTTGAGAATTTGCCCCGAGGGTGCATCAGTTTCTGACATGGTTGGATTCTGTAAAGGAAGCCATCCTGGGGTTTATCCTTGAGAAGCCTTGCTTGACTTTGTTGTTCAGACTGCCTGTGGCGCTCAGGGCTGATGGTTTCCCCAGGAAAGGCAGAGGTGGACTTCCTGGTTTGGGAGGCCCAGCTACCCTGGGGGAGGCTGGGTGTGGGTTGGCCAGCACCTTCTTGAGGGTTTTGGAGAAAAGAGCGAGCAGCCCACTTCCGTTGTAGTGGCATCTGCAAAGGCCAATCCATTTCTTGATTGTCAGTTGGGATGATAGAGCGAGCCTTATCCTGGGAGGTGGGGCAGGACGATCTACAGGTCCTACCCTTGTGTAGGGAGGGGCTTGGTAGGCTTGGGAAAGAGCAAGGGAGCTGGACTGGGGTTGGCACCTGACGCGGATGTGAAGGCAACTTTTCAGTCAAAGGTTGGGGTTGATTCAAATGGTTAGGAGGCAAGGGTTGGGGCTGGGAAAGCAGTGGAGGCTCTGTGGACCGAGTTTGAACTGGAGAAGAACGAGAGTTGATATTGAACCTAACCGTGGGAGCTCTTGAAAGGGTGGGCCCCTTAGAGACCCAGGCCGTAGCCACTAGTGACTCGCTGTGCAGAGAGGGGAGGCCCCAGAAGAGCTGGCTGCATTTCTTCTCTAAGTGGTCCCCAAAGACCTGGGGGGCAGAGAGCCGCGGAGGCCCCTGCAGCTGTGTGGATTGGTGCCGTGGTCTCCAGAAGAGCTGTGGGGCGCTGCTGGCCTGCTTGCTGCTCAGGGACCTCAAGAGAGCCCCCAGAGAACTCAGGAGGCAGCCTGGGCGCATCTGGCCCAGCAGGGACCCCGTCTTCTCTTCTGCCTTCAGCATCAGGCCTGCTCTCCTGGAGATGAGGATTTCTAGCAGCCTCTGGCCATCAGGGCTGATGAAAGGAGGGCCGCCAGCCTCTGCCTGCCCGCGTGCGGCGTCTCCCCAGGGCGAGGCCTCTGGTGGGTGCTGGGAAAGAGGCTCTTGCCGGCCTCTGCCATGTGGTGAGGTGAACAGGAGCAAGGCCTTGGCGGTCGGCCACCACCAGGAGAAGAATGCAATGGAGCTGCTTACGCGGTCCAAGCCCGAGGCGGCCGTGCTGAGAGAGGCCAAGCAGGAGTTACCTGGAGGGGCGCTGTCTGGGGCCGGGCCTGCCGGGGTGCTCTTCACGTCGGACTGGACTTGTTGAGGTCCTTCTGACGGGCAGGAGGCCGGGGGAGGAGGGTGCTGGGTCAGCAGAGCCGGGGAAGGCAGTGGGGACGAGGTGACAGGAGAAGCATCTTCCTCGGGCTCCCCATGAGGCTGGTGGCCCCCAGCAGGGGCTGGATTGCGTTCATCTCCCTGGAGGTCCCGACACAGAAGGTGAGAAGCGCTGTCGTCAGGGAGCTTTCCCAGGTGGCTGCAGGAGACAGGAGGCACATGATGCAGCCGGGTTCAGATGGGACCGGGAGCCCTGACCTGCCTGGCGGGGATGGATGCCTGCAGCCCGGGCCCCTGCACTGCCCCACGCCCTGACTTCATGGAGCTCTGGCTCTCCCTCACCCCCGGGGTACACTCACATCCCATGTCTGCCTGTGGTCTCCCCCTCCCTGGGTGGGATGCTCCAGGCCCTGGAGTCACGTAATGCGTTCTGGCAGGATAAGGACATGGACCACAGCAGAAACCTCCTCACCTTTGCAGAATGGAAACGAGCCCTCGAGCCTCCTTCAGTTTCTCCAAGCAGTCTCTGCAGGCTGGAAGCCAGGAGACTGGGTTAGGGTGCAGAAGGGAGGGGTCTGGGATTCTTCCAGGAGGCCGAGTGGAGTGTTCTTTTATAGGGGGACCCTGGGAGATCAGACTCTGGAGCCCGCGTGTCAGTGTCCAACCCCCAGGTCCCTGGCAGTGTGAGCAGTGCACACAGGTGGCGGTGCTCTAGCATTTAGAAAGTGCTTCCACATCCATCACCCCCTGGGGTCCTCACCACTGCACTGTGGGGGAGAAGGGAAAGGCTCCTCTCAAAGAGGGATTAGCCTTATGGGAATGAGCTGCAGGCAGTGTTGGTCCACTGCAGCCCACAGTGCCCCCTACTGGGCAACACTCATTTCCTGGCTCACCATGGCTTCCTTACCAGCAGAACCCTGAGGATTCCTGGTGCTGATTTCCTTCCTAGAACCCTCCCTCCCCCGTGGGCCCCTCCCACTGACATCCATAAGATGTGGTGCTGGTCCCTCAAGGACTGGCATGGTCTGGTCACCTGTGGGGCTTCAGGTGGACGGTCAGGGCCTTACCTTTCAGAGCTCTGCTCTTCTTTCTGCTCTTGATTCTCCTCCTTGTGTGCCCTTGACACTGAGAGACAAGGAAGAAAGAGGGGGCTGAGTCCCAGTCCTCTCTTCTTCCCCTTAGACAAGCTGCAGACGTTCAGTGCTCATGAATATCATGTCTGCCGCTTTTCGCTAAAGGATCTCCATGTTCTTTCCTTTTACTCATTGTAGAGAAGATTAATTTGAGAGAAATAGACAGAGCCCCCAGTCACTTGTTCACTCCCCAAGTGATTGTAGTGAGCCAGTCTGGGACAAAGCTGGCAGCCAGGAACTGACTCTAGTGCTCCTGTGTGGACTGCAGGGTCCCAACTACTTGAGCTGTGACCGGTGCCTTCCTATGATACACATGGGTAGGAATCAGAAATGGAGCTCGGGCTTGAACCCAGGCACTTTGGTGTGAGATGATGTTGTCCCAGCTAGAGGCTTAACCACTATGCCAAGTGCTCTCCCCATACTCATCTTTAAAACAGAGGAAATATTTCCTGGTTTTCTTCTTTGAAAAGCACAAAGGAGTGTTCTATGTGATATCTGCTAGGGGGGCCTTGGTTCGCTGTTCCTCTGCTTGAGGGAACCGATTTGGCCTGCAATGCGTGTGAGCTCCCAGGGAGGAGCCTGCTGCCCGAGGCCAGCTGTGACTCCAGGCTCTGAACTGAGGCTCTCACTCCCCAGCACAGCCCTCCGGTCTGCCAACACAGAACAAAGGCTCGGCTTCACGACACCTGACCCAGGAAGGCCCCTGAGGAGAGAGGGCTCAGGGCCGTTGTCCCCCAGACATCACACTGTAGGCGGCAGGCCTTGCCTGTTCCAAGGCTTAGTGTTTGATTTTTACCCCAGTGCCCTCCAGCACACCCACAGGGATGGCCCGAGAGCGTCACACAGAAATCCCGGAAGCACCTGAAGCCCTGCCATGAAGGGTGATGTTCGTTCCCACGTTTCCCATCTCAGAAGTCTCTGGATGCTGCTAAACAGTGAAAATAACAGTAGAAGACAGAGAAAACCCTTGTCTGCTGGGTTCTGGCCAAGGGCTCCTTACCTTCCTGATGGTCCCCTTTCTCTTGGGAGGTGGTGAGGGTGGAGTGCTGTGGACGAATGTCAGGAGGAAGAGGCCCAGGCCGCACAGGAAGACCAGGATGATGTTTGTTCCCCAGGAGGTGCAGCTGAGGCTCTGCCACATTGCACGAATGCTTTTCTGATTTTCCATCCTCTGAATCACTCAGGCAGCTGAGTCCTTGGAGTTCCGCTTGGCAGAGGGGAGCAGGCCCAGGTCTGCATCACGGAACTGTGGCCTCCTCATCACAAAGGACTCCTGCGAGTGGGGGAGGGGTGATAAGAGGCTGGTGGCAGCCTCTCCCCCACCAGCTGGGCCTTCTAGGAATCTCTGTCCAATTCCGCCTCCTTAACTTATGGAGATCTTACTCAATTTTCTATTCTTTTCACCTTGAACCGAGATACTATATGGTTCCCTTTACCTAGAAAATTTTGGCTTGAACTCCCCAAAGTTTTTTACAGCTTAAACATCATTGGGCTCCTCTGAGAACACATTTTAATGGTGTTTTATCAGACAACATGGTGTACATTTCCATATTTCTTCTTCAGCATATATCAGGTGCATTAGGCCATTGATTTTTTTTAAACAGGTAGTTCCTTAAATCTAAATCTACAGCACGTGTTATGTCATGCTAACCAGGTATCTCTCACCTGTTGCAATCCTTACATCTTTCCAGTCCTGATTGCATGCCGCATTTTTGTCTTAGAACCTGGGATGCGTGGTCATTTCTAAAATTTTAATTTTTTCCTTGCTGTTGATATTTACCATTATCCCTCAGCCTGAGCTCTAGGAGATTACATAAACATTCTCTTTGCTTGTATGTGTGCTGTTTTGTGGAAGTAATGTGAGTGTTCCATTTTTAGAAAACTTACTGTGTTCGACAACTGAGGACAAGGCATGGGGTGAACATGTTTCTGTAAAGAAAAAAACAAAACAAAACAAAACAAAAACAAAAAAACCCACACCAAACATTATTGAGAAGGTGGTCCTTGTGTGTAACATTGTTCTGTCACATGAAAGTGGTGCAAAGCAATAGAATGGAAACAACACCCAGAAATTGTTGATTTTTAGCTTCTTTAATGACACCAGTGTGGCTCAAAAGACATCAAAGTAGGTAGAACCAATGAATCAGACATTCTATAGTAATTAAATGTCTATTATTCTTATATGATCTCTTGGATCATTTTTACCATGTGTTTTTCTGAGATTTTTAATGGATGCATGGGAAAGTACTTCTGACGGCTAGGTTTTACACTTGACTTCAGAGATGTAGAATGTTGGAAAAAACTTTTCTGGAATTGAATGACTTTTCTGTAACACACCAGGCAAATGAAGCCTCAGGACAACCAGCCAATGTGGAATAGAGAGAGCAAAAGGCAGCTACAGGGAAAATAGGATCTCAGCATTTTTCACTTAGGACACATGTGAACTGAATAACTTATAGTCCAAACAAAGATCAATCTAGAAAGTTTTAACAAATTGAACAACAAAATAAGCCACCTGGTAGTGGATTGTAACAAAAAACTAAATAAATGTCCTTGAGTCCAGACTAATATAAATAAATCATCGGCAATAAAAATAAATTATAGAAATAACAACAAATAGTAAATGAGTATTTCTGCTGTTTTTTCAAAATTATTACAAAAGTAGAAGAATATAAGCTGAAAAATGGCAATAATAACTTACAGGGGACAATAACTCCTCCATTTTACAGTGATATATTTTTATCAAAAATATTTTATTTTCCCTCAATTGTCTTTATGTTCTATACTTCTATGTTTTAATTTTGTGCCCTTAGAATATTTACATGAGCTCATATTTCTTTATCTCAGTCAGCTTGTTGAATATGATTGCTTGTGTTTTTCTACTTTTTGAATAATTGAAAAAAAGATCATAGACTTTGAGAAAAAGGCAGAAAAAATGAGTTATAAGATTTATCAGGCCGGCGCCGTGGCTCACTAGGCTAATCCTCCGCCTTGTGGCGCCAGCACACCGGGTTCTAGTCCCGGTCAGGGCACCGGATTCTTTCCTGGTTGCCCCTTTTCCAGGTCAGCTCTCTGCTGTGGCCAGGGAGTACAGTGGAGGCTGGCCCAAGTGCTTGGGCCCTGCACCCCATGGGAGACCAGGATAAGTACCTGGCTCCTGCCATCAGATCAGCGCGGTGCGCCGGCCACAGCGCACCGGCCGTGGCGGCCATTGGAGGGTGAACCAACGGCAAAGGAAGACCTTTCTCTCTGCCTCTCTCTCTCACTGTCCACTCTGCCTGTCAAAAAAATAAAAATAAAAATAAATAAATAAAGATTTATCTTTTTTCTTGACAAACTGATAAACCATTATTTAGCATTGTGGAAAATTAGTTTATCTATAAAATGGGAATTATTATAACATGGATCATGGATTACTGAGAATATGAGGATACTTCAGAAAGGTAGTGGAACATTGGAATTAAATGGTAAGTTTATTTTAGTTCCAAAAATTTTTGGAATCCATACATTAATTTTTTCATACTATACATTTTCAATGAACTTTCTGAAGTATCCTCAATATTAAGTAACAGTAGAATGATCTATAATTATAAATTCTTATATAAAGAAAAACCTTCTACTGATATTATTATTAAGTACAACTCAAGATTAAAACAATATGATTATAAAATTCTGTTTACCACCCTCATTTAAAATTTCCTGAATTTTATAGGTGATTAAAAATAATGTGTCCTGCTTACCCAGAATAATTTCTCTAAAATGACATTCAGGGAGATTTATTTTATGGACCAGAAAAAGGGATATGAGGTTTTCAGCAAGTGGTTGCTATAGCTGCATGATTAATAAGAATAGTTCAGGGGCCGGCTCTGTGGTGTAGCAGGTGAAGCCGCCACCTACAGCGCGGGCATCCCGTACAGGCACTGGTTCGAGTCCCGACTGTTCCACTTCCGATCTAGCTCTCTGCTATGGCCTGGGAAAGCAGTAGAAGACGGTCCAAGCCCTTGGGCCCCTGCACCCGCGTTTGGAGACCCAGAGGAAGCTCCTGGCTCCTGGTTTCGGAGCCACACAGCTCTGACCATTGAGGCCAATTGGGGAATGAACCAGCGGATGGAAAACCTCTCTCTCTCTCTCTCTCTCTCTCTGCCCTTCCTTCTCTCTGTGTAACACTGACTTTAAAATAAAATAAATAAATCTTAAAAAAAAAAATAGTTCAGACTGTTGATTGATTACTGCCTATTTCATGCCTTTAGTTTGGAAATAAAATTCTCATAAATGAGAACAAGCCTCACCTGAGTTATTTATTACTAGAATATTGTCGCATGGCCAGCAAGAATGATGTGGTTGAGATTAAGTCCTGATGTGTGTGTCTGGGCTCTCATAGCTATTGTCCAGCTGGGCTAATGGTTTTAGTGGTCCCCAGTCTTATCTAATTTCAAATTCCTTTCTCAGCACCATCTTGGAAGCAGAGACTGGGCCCTCAGCAGACACTGAACCTACTGATGCCTTCATCTGCACTTTGCAGCCTCCAGAACTGTGGTAGAATAAGTTAGTTTTTTTTTAATTTTGATTTTTTAAGAAAGGCTTAGGGAGAGGGAGAGATCTTCCTTCTGCTGTTCCACTCCCCAAATGGCCACAACAATGGCCAGAGCTGAGCCAGGCTGAAGCCAGGAGCCTGGAACTCCATCTGGGTCTCCTACATGGGTGTCAGGTGCCCAAGCACTCGGGCCTCCTCCTACCGCTTTCCCAGGCACATCATCAAGGACACAAACTGGTGTCCGTGTAGGATGCCAGCACTGAAGGTGGCAGTGTAAACTGCTGTTCCACAATGCTGACCCCCAAAGTTTGTGCTCTTTATAGAATTACCCACTCTCAAGTCTCCATTACAACAGAACAAAATGACATACAGCACTTTGCGCTTTCCCTCTCTTTAAATCTGCTCCTGCCTGCTTTTGAGTCTCTGCCAAAATCAGGGGACGGCAGCTGCCTCCCTTCCTTGGCAGGCTCTGAATAAGCAGCTTCTGCTTGCCCGCATTTGTGTGGATTTCCTCTGAGTGTGCAGTACCAACGACCCATAGAAAACTAGAACCCCTTTCTACGACAAAGCGAGGTTCCAGACTACATAAGCCATTGAATGTTTTTGCTCTAGGGTGAGAGTATAGTGAATATGAATTTCTTTCACACTTTCTCCTGTTCCTTTTCTTTTGGGATTAGATTTGGGACTAATCTAGCATGTTAGGCTCACCCAGCTCAGGAACCTCAAAAAGCCTCGTGACTTATTGTTCAAAGGAGAAATTTCATTGTTCTTCTATTATAGATACCAGTGATACTATAATTCTATTTACCTGTAATACTATAACCCTATTATATATAAATATATATACACATATATATATATGAATAACTACACCGAAAATAGATAAAGAAATGCACACTATAATCGACCCCACCCTCTTTTTCGCATCTCAGGATAAGTTAGGCTTGTAAACCCTGGCCTGGTTGGTTTGCTAGTTCACTTATGCATTCGTTGATTTATCTGCTCACTCAAGCTAATGAGGGTTATTTTATTCTGAGTGCTCTGCATGGCCCTAGAAATACAAAGACAAGCACAATCATGGGCCTTGCATGCAAGGAGATTAACTCAAAGTTATGCACTGGAAAAGGAGGGAGACTTCCCCTGCCTCCTACCCCTCCATGCTGAGCAGTGTTGTGTCTTCAAATTGGTCACCCATTCTCTTTTTTGATTCCTTAGAAGTGAGCTGAATCACGGAATTGTGCTTTTGTTGCATGTGTGTGCATGCACATATACCCATGAACAATATATTGTAACGTTTCTGGAAAAAGCCAGTCGTTAGCATTCAAGTAGCCTATTAAGTTAACGTAATATTATTTTGAGTTAAATTGTAACAGTAGGTGCTGGTGCTGTGGCTCAGCTTGCTAATGCCCCAGCCTACAGCACGGGCATTACATATGGGCGCCATTTCCAGTCCCGGCTGCCCCACTTCCGATCCAGCCCCCTGCTAATGTGCCTGGGAAAGCAGCAGAGGGTGGCCCAAATACTTGGGCCCCTGCACCCACATGGGAGACCCAGAAGAAGCTCCTGGCTCCTGGCTTCGGATCAGTCTAGTTTCGGCCATTGCAGTCATTTGGGGCCTAGAACCAGTGGATGGAAGATCTCTCTCTCTCTCTTTCTACCTCTTTCTGTAGCTCTGTCTTTCAAAGAAATAATAAAAAAATAAATTATAACAGTAAGGTACTGGAACTT